GAAAACCAAGGACAGGCGACAGATTCTCGGTACACTCCTCGCAAGGCTTGGGGATGGGTCCGGGACACAACCCCCAGATGAAGCCAAGGCCTCCTGGGAGGCGATTCCCAGCCCAGACGCCATCCGACTCCTCCCTGCCGGAGGGGAGCTCTGAGCACAACAACCCTCTAGGCAAGGTCTTGGTGGGTCCCTGGGCACAGGTTCCCCACCAACCCAAGACCTGGGGGCTTCCAGGCAGATCTGTCCCTCAGAGGCGTCCTGGGCACAGCATCCTCCCCTCTCCCCCCAATCCCTGGGCAGCGTCCCAGGAACAGCCCCTTCTCAAAACAAGGTCCCAGTGCCTGGGACCCCACCCCCACCCCAGCCTGAATAAAATCAGGGAAATTTCAGGCACATCCCCTTTCCCCTCTCTGCTTGGTCAAGGGTCCCAGGGCTCAGGTCCTCTGGGCCACCCCCTTTGTCCCTGAGGCTGCCCAGCTGCCTGGGAGTGGCCCCACCCTCGGATAATGCGCCGGTCCCCCGCGCTCCAGGATTCATGCTGGAAGGAGTGGGGGCGGCTTCCCAGAGACCGACTGTAGTCTGTCTGCAGCGTCGGAGGTGATGGCGGCTTTGTGTGTGGTACCTGGGGGGGAGGGGGAAGCAAGCGACGGGGGGTGCCTGAGTGTGACCCCCTGTTTACATGACTGGCTCTGTGTGTGTCTGTGCTGGTGACTATGGGGAATCTTGTGTCTGTGTTTTGTGCTTGTGGTTGTGTCTGTGAGTGACCCCAGCATTTGTGTGACTATGTGTATACGACAGCTGCTCTAAAAGAACCCTGTACTTTTCAGTCTGTTTGGGTGTGTGCATGGTTGTGACTGTGGGGTTGTGTCTGTGGTTCCATCTTTAGTGACCCCGTGTTTGTGTGCCTTGGTAACTAGGACTGGGTATGTGGAAGTGCATATGTTGAGTCTGGGGTTGCACTTGTGTGTGGTTGACTGAAGATGTGAGTGGAGTTGTGATTATGTGTAAATGGAGTCGTGTCTATGGCTGTCCATGTGCGACTCTCCCAATGACGGTGTACATTTGTGGTTGTGTCTGATTTATATTTGTGTCACACATAGGTCTGTGGCACACGTCCCCGCAACTGAGTATGTGACTGCCATTGTATACCAAGTCAGTCACGTTGTGCCTATGTGACTGGGTGTGTGTGATGGCACTGTGACTTGTATGTTTGTGTGACTGGTCTGTGTATATGACCAGAGTTATATAAATGACTGTATCTAGCTGTGTGTTGATACTGAGTGATTGTGTGTAGTTGCAGTTGCGAATGTGTGATTTGGGTTATGTACTTGACTTGGGGTCTGAAACTCTGGCTGACCATTAATAGTGGGTTATTTCACTGTATCTAACTCAAGATATAGGTGTGTCTGTGTCTGATGGCACCAGGCTACTGTGTGTGTTGGAGGGAGTGTAGGTGACTGGGGCTTCTATATTTGTGTGATCTGCATGTCTGTGACCCTGGGTGACTGTAAGTACTTGTGTCTGTGTCATAGGCTGTGAGCGTGTGTCTAGCTGTGTGACTATTTGGTGTGTGTGTGTTTGTGTGTATGCTGGACTGCTGGTGTTTGAGTGTGATTTGGTGACAGCATGACTGTCAGGAGCTGCGTCTTCTGCATACATGCAGCTGTAAATGCTATGTCTGGGTCACTGCATTTCTGAGCATGCACCTGACTGTGTGCGTGTAGTGTGTAAAGTGGAAATTGTGTGCTGATGTCTCTATGTGTGAGATATGTGTCTGACTACATGGGGCTGTGATTGTATGTGGTCACGTGTCTGTGTGACTTGTGTGTTTGCATGAAGAGAGACTATGTGTTTCTCTGTGATGCTGTGATGTGGTACAGCTGGGTAGGGATTATCGGTGACAGAATTATGACTGTGATATATGGCCAGGTAATATGGACACTGATGTTGTGTGACTTTGCGTACATGACCAGTTCTGAAATGTGTATGGCTGTGACTCTGGACCACCAGTTGTCTGGCTGTGTCTGAGTGTGGCCATCCTTGGGGACAGTTGTCTCTGGGTGGTTGTATGCATGTCTTGAGTGTGCCAGCCTGTTTCTTTATAATGCATGGGCCATGGCCATCCAGGTCTCTGTCTGATTGGTGATGGAGAACTGTCCATATAAGTTAGTTGATACTGTGACTAAATGTGAGCCCCTATGACTGGGTATGTGTCATTGTGTGACAGTGTGTGGCCAAAAAGGTGTATTGGTGTGATTGATACTAAGGGTTGAATGTCCATGTGCAGCTGTGTGCCTGTAGATGATTCAACACATTTGGCTGTGACTGGGTGTGGCTGTGTGTATGTCTGCATGCATCCATGACCAGATGTCAACACACAGCATTGGAGCTAGGTGTGATAAGTGTTTATGTCTGTGATTTCATCTGTGTGACTGGGTGTGATTCTATGTGAGTGCGTCTGTGATGTGAATATCTTGGGTGGCTGCCTGAGGAAACATAACTGCCATTGGGTGTGGCTGTACATATGCCACTCTAGTGGGTATGCCTGGGCTCAGCTCTTTGTATGTGGATGAAAAAAACAGAGGTGACCAAATATCAATAGCTGGCATGACCAGGTGTTTGTGGCAGGGCCTAGGCAGGCTGGGACTCTCAATATGCATGTAGACATATGTCTGTAGTGGAGACTGTGTATATCTGTGAACATGGCTATGTGACAAGATGTTTGTAGTGGCTGTGACTGTTTAGATAAGTCTGTGTGACCTGGTGTGTATAGTTGGGGTTGTGTCTGTGTATAACTAAATGTGCAGAGTTGTGACCCGGTGCTAGGGACAACTGTAGACATGAGTTGCATCATACATGTGATTGTGTATCCCTGAACACATGTCTAGAAGACAAGGCTACTCCCTCCTCACACCATCCCTGTGGGTACTAAGAGCCTTCTGAGCCCAGAATATTCCCTAAGAAATGCCCCCAAAACACAACCAGGTGGCTCATTTCCCTTGTAACAGTTGCTATGACAACCAGGCTATCATCAGGGAGCCTGAGATGGAGGGGGGATGGCTGATGCCCAACAAGGGGGTAAGGTAGGGGAGTGTGCCCATCCCAAGCCAGCCTCTCACCTTTTCCTCTGTCCCTTGGGCAGGGCAGACCCAGAAGGCCTGAGCAGCATCTGCCCCCAGCCCCCTGTGGGGCCCCGGGGCCCCCTGAAACCTCCAGGACGGAGTCAGGTGAGTGACCAGCTAGGAACAGGACCAGGAGTGAGTGCGTGGGTAGGTCTGCCTAGCACGCCTAGCAGAACTGTCCCTGCAATCACACAGGCCTAATCACACTCATGAGTAGATACCCTCAAACCTCTTCCTTGCACACTCAGTGACCATCCAAGCCCGACTCGTGCACAGATACACATACCTGGACCATGTCATACACACACTGAGACATTCAGACACACACCGACCCCAACGCACACACAAGTGCAGGGTCACAGACATTCAGACACATTCCCAGACTATACCTAGACTCCCTCAGACAGGTGACTACAGGCACTAAGCAGATACCCACTCTTAGATACACACTTTTGCAGACAACATATACAGACGCACATTTTTATAGACAACAAGACAACAGCCAAACTTTCTCAAGCAGACATTGCCTCACAGACAGTACCTGTGGACCCATTCTGTCATAAAGGTTACACTTCTACATACAGAAGTCTCACCATAATACCCAGCACTCATGGACAACAGCCATGTTCTCACATAGTCACATCCTCATAAATACAGTCACAAACAACTCTCAAAGACAACAACCTCATGGGTGCATACTGACACATCCTCAGAACAGCACTCATGGACCCAACTCTACAACAACCACATGCTCTGACACAGACACACCTTCCCTAACAACAGCTGCAGTCTTGGACATAGACGTGGTCTCTTGGGTAACAGTCATACATATACTGTCAGAGGCAGCAGTCATCAATGACAGTAGCCACACCGTCATGCAGACACACAGTTCAAAGACAACAGCTTCTTGCTCAGAGACACACACTCACAGGCAACATTCCCTAACACACACTCACAACCACTCTCACACATAGATACCCTTCAGCAACAATCTTTGAGGACCTGCGCTGACAGACAACAACCACACTATTGGTCATAGATCCCCTCAGGCCAGCCTGCACAGACACATACTCTAGGAAACAACCATTCTCAGACCCACGTCCTTTTGTACAGCCTTCAGAAATACACACACTCACAACAGTTGCATGCTCAGCTCCGGACACCCTCACAGGCACCATTCAGGAACACCACCTGCATACTTGCTTGCACATGCACATAGTCCCCATCTGCTGGTGCTCTGTCCTGTGTGTGCCTTCACCCTCTTCCTGGGACTGCCACTATGGCTTGTCAGTCAGTGAAGACTGTCTTAGTCAATGAAGACTATCTTAGTAGCTGGCCCCCTCCACCCTCATCCCTACCTCTGACAGTCACAGGTGCACACTGCCCCAGGTCTCCTGCCTTAGACTAGACACAGTTGTTAGAGGGGTGGTATCTCTGGGGCACAGAGACAAGCCCTTGTTCTCCATACCCTCTGCCTTGGCTCTGGACCTCAATCCTGGACCTTCTAAGACCCCCACACATTGGACCCATGCTCCACACATTGGACCCATGCAACTCCCAACTCCTGTTTCCTCTTACCACCTCACCCCCTGACCTCATTCCTGTAAAGCCGTTGACCTCATGACCCTGGCTCTGTGCCCTGTAATCCCAGGGCCTTCCAATGCCTTGACTTCCCATTACTTTGGATCCTCATAATTCTAGACTGTCACATCCCCAATCTCCAGACCCCTAGAAGCGGTGACCCCTATCCCAGACCTCCCTACCCCTTAGCTCCATGTCTTCTGACTCTTGCACTCCCTGCCTTACATCACCCCCTTTCCCTGTCACTGCTGCTGGTCCTAGTTCCCTGGTCATGTCCTCTAACCCAACAACCCCCTAAACTTACTCCCTTGTTATCTCACCCCTTGCTCCCTGAGCTCTGTGTCCATCCTCCTTGAGCCCCATGCTTCTGACCCTGGCCCTTGACCACTCCCTGCCCTGTGTCAGCAGACGGGGCTGGCACAATGAACAAGTTAAGGCAGAGCCTGCGGCGGCGGAAGCCAGCCTACATGCCTGAGGCATCACGCCCGCACCAGTGGCAGGCAGACGAGGACGCGGTGCGCAAGGGCACGTGCAGCTTCCCAGTCAGGGTGAGTGCGAAGGGCGAAGGGCGCGGGCGGGGGTGGGGCGCATGCGTGCCCCAGTTGGGTGAGGCGGTTCTGTCCTGTGTGGTGGAAACAGCGCATCCACAAAGAACTGTGAGCCTGCCGAAGCGTGACCCCACTGCCTGAGTGCTTCAGAGTCGGGATTAAAAACCTAGCCCTGGCTGGTGGTGTGCAGTTGTAGGTGCTCCCAAAGGTCCCTGGTTGGATTCCCCTTGGCTTGTCTGCTAGATCCCCAGTAGGGGGCGTGTAGGAGGCAGCAGTTTGATGTTTCTCACATCGATGTTTTTCTGTCTCTCTTCCTCCCTCTCTCTCTAAAATCAATAAAAACATATTTTAAAAAACTGCACGCATTCTCTTGTACCAGGGAAATGTTACCTGGGGGACGACATGCTGGGTCACCCCATTTTGTGGGAGCTCACAGTTTCCAGAGGGCACTGGAGAGTCACAAAAATTTTGTAGTATTTGCAAATCCTTCTATGACCCTTTACAACCCACACTACACATTCGTAAGGGAGACAGCAGGTTCAGGTTTAAATACCAACTTGGTCCATTCCCCTAGATGCAGACCATTGGGAGGAATGGGGAATGCTGGTGGGAGTGAGGAAGGGAAGACAGCCAATCAATGGTGTGTTACTAAATTGCAGCTGTGGGCAACTGTGCTTCATGCCACTGGGGACTCTGGGAAATAGAGCCATCTTCCCACAAGGGGAGGGAGCTAGAGCACGTGTACCCCAAATCCCATCAGTTATTGCTGGGGCCAGTCCTCAGGCTCAGATGCAGATGCTGGCACTCAGGACAAGAATGATGTTGTTAAGGCCCAGGGATAGAGGCAGGATGGGAATCACTACCGCACACTCTCGTTTGTATATTTGGGATGGGAATGCGGTACCCATCTTGTAGAGCTGAGGTGCAGAGTAAATGAGTTAATACCTATGTTGTGCTTAGGACATTGTGTAGTGCATCGCAGCTGCTCAGGGAACACTAGGAATTATTGATTACTCTGCTTATTTCATGTCCTCCTGTTTCCTCCCTCCAAGTACCTGGGTCACGTGGAGGTGGAGGAGTCCAGGGGGATGCACGTGTGTGAGGATGCTGTGAAGAGGCTGAAGGCGGTGAGTGAGGGGCTGGCGCAGAGAGGGGGCAAGGTCAGACTGGAAGAGGCAGCCCTCATCCGGCCCTCTATTCTCACCTCCCCCCCAGATGGGCCGGAAGTCCGTGAAGTCGGTCCTGTGGGTGTCAGCCGATGGGCTCCGAGTGGTGGATGACAAGACCAAGGTAGGAGGTCTTTAGGGTTAGGAGAGGGCACCAGAGCGCCCCTCTCCTCATCCTGCTCAAATGGGGCTGAGGATGCTTTCCCACCCACCTCTAGGATGTCCCTCCCTCAGAGACCTTCTAGACAATACCATGTGCTCCTGCAACATCATGGCACACCCCAGTCATAATTCAAGATTGAGTCCTGTGGTTATTTGTGAGCTGGCATAGATAGTGGGTAAGAGCACAGACTGTGGAGCAGCTGCCTCAGCTCCGATCCCAGCTCACCCACTTACCAGCTGGGTGACCCTGGGTATGAGATGTTACTCTTCTGTGCCTCAACTGTGTCATCTTTAAAATGGGGATAATAAAGACCCTGCCATTACCTGAGAAAGTGTATCACATAGTTTAAAACTGTGCCTATGTCAAATGAAAAATAATACCGACTAGTTGTTTTGTCCCAAAAAGGACTTATTGGGGTAAAGGAAAGGGTTGCAAACCAGTGCATGCAGACAAAAGAAGCCACATGCACACTCTGGCCTGCGTGCCAAGATTGAGGGGTATTTATAGAAGGGAAAGGAAGTTAAGGGAAGAAGTTAGAACATAGAGCTTTATTATAAACACTAGAGGCTCGGTGCACGAAATTTGTGCACAGGTGGGGTCCGTAGGCCTGGCTGGTGATCAGGGCCAGGCCAATCAAGGCCCAAAGGCCCCAGTAGGGTTGGGAGAGGAGGCGACGGTTGCCAGGCCGGGCATGGAAGGAACAGACACCTGACACCGGTGCTGCCACCACACGGTTCCCTGCCTCTCCCCCTCCTCTTTCCCTCACTGCTGCACCACCACCTCAGTGGGCAGCTGGCTGATTGGGGCCTGCTGGCGGGGGGGCGGGGGGGGGGTTGGCCACTGGCCCTGAGGAGGCAGCCAGCCCTCAGCCCCCCTGGGAAAGGGGCCACGTCTGCCACCACCCACCCCCAGTTCCTGGTCCCAGCCAGGGGCCCAATCACCCGATAGCCTTATCAGGGCCTGCCGACCAGGGGGAGGAACCGTGGGAGGTTGGCCGGCTGGAGGAGGTTGGCTGTGGGAGCGCATTAACCACCAGGGGGCATCTCCTGCATTGAGCGTCTGCCCCCTGGTGGTCAGTGCACGTCATAGCGACCGGTTGTTCTAGTCGCTTAGGCTTTTATATATATAGATAGGGTTCTCCCTTGTAGGGTTCTTGTGATTACATAGAGTGTGAGAACTTCCATAAGCCCTAGCTCCTCCTATAGGCCCTCCCAACTTAGTATATTTGCTTAAAGCTGCTATTGGTCTTTATCACCTGGTACAGCAGAAGTATTCAGATCAATGAATGTTAGCTGTTATGTGTTTGTTGTCAGTCTACCCAGCCAGAGAGGAGTGCCATGGGGCCAGGATCTGGGTGTCTGTTTGCTCGCTTTTGAATTCCCTGCCTCCAGCCCAGAGACCACCAGAGGAGGCAGCCAGCACACAATGAGAGTTAGTTTAATGACAGAAGAGTATTGACACCTTGGCACAGGCAGTCCCTCAGCCTGAAATACTGTTCCCTGCCTTTTGCTTCTAGGAAGCGTTGCCTGACTCCACCGCCCAGATATATCCAAGTTGGGTCAGGCACCTCCTCTTGGCTCCTGCAAGCCCCTGTGCCTCCCCCATCCCATCTGTGATCTCTCTGCCTGTCCCTCCCTCATTACAGCCTGGGTTCTCTCCTGGTGATGGGTCTGGTTCTGTGATAAACTGGGGGCCCCATGCCATTAGGGTCCACAACAGAATGCACAGTGACTGCTCGGTGCCTACCCCAATCAGAATGGGAGATAGAGAGACACTAAGGGAATGTTGAATGAATACATGAAAGACAGTTCACATTCTTCTCGGCCTCCCCAACCACTCCCAGGACCTGCTGGTGGATCAGACCATTGAAAAGGTCTCCTTTTGTGCTCCTGACCGCAACCTTGACAAGGCTTTCTCTTACATCTGCCGTGATGGGACCACCCGCCGCTGGATCTGCCACTGTTTCCTGGCACTCAAGGACTCCGTGAGTATCGCCAGAGCCCAAAGCCGGCTGACTCCTCTCCCATTCCCCGGCATTCCAGCCCCTTCCCGGGCCTGCCATTCACCTCTCCTCTCCAGGTCTGGCGTCCTCATCCAGAAAAGGGGCTGTACTCCGAGCTCCTAACTTACAGGATATTGTAGACTTGAGTAGGTTAATACCAGGATGTAGAATAATGACTGGCACATGGGAAACAGGAAAACACTGGCTACCATCCTCCTTATTATCAGTAGTTCTTCATGTTTCTCTGACTTTTCTAATTGAGGACCATATACATACATGTGCACTCCTTGTCCAGCCCCATGAATTTTTGTTTATGGGTATGCCCCACCCAGGTCAAGTTTGGCTCCTACCCCCAGCAGGCTCCCTCAGGCCCTTCTCAAACAATTTCCCTTCCCCACTCTTCCTTCAGCCTTGATTCATTTTCCCTGTGTTTCTTTATATTTGAGGGGGTCAAGGTCCCCTCTGAGAATCAGATGAAAGCATCAAATGGGCTGTTTTCTCAGTATTATTCTCCCAGTGAGGATTCTGAGGCTTGTAGCAGAAACCCCAGACACCAGGGATTTCAGTGAAATGGACGTTTCCTTCTGTTTCATGGGAAAGACCCAGAGGCAGGCCATGCAGCACGGGTGTGGCTCCCCTCCACTCAGCAGGGCCACAGCTCCTTCTGTCCTGTTGCCGAAGGAGAGCTCCACTTCCTGATCCAGGATGGATGCGCACGCTCCAGCCTTCACATCTTCCTCCCACCGCAGCATGGAGAGGCGGTGAGGAGGGCATGTCCTCTCCTTTCTGGGAGCTGCGCATCATTTCTAATTGCATTCCACTGGTCAGAACCTAGTCACATGGACATCCCTACCTGCAAAAGACAGTGGAAAATAGAGCCTTTCTTCTGCCCTGTCACCTGGACCCTGAATTCAGTCCCCCACCCACAATCTCAGCCTCCTACATTAGCCAGTTCTCTGGTTGCTGGCAATAGAAACCAATCTGGCTAACTTAAGCCTAAAATAAAATTCTTGGAAGGCTATGGGAATCCCACAAAATCGAAGGGCAGTCAGAGCAGTACGTAACAGAAGGGCAGAGAGCGGGACATCCTGGGGACGTGGCAACAGGGGACAGTTCCTTCAGGGAACCATTGTGAGATGAACCCAACTCCCAAAGCTTTGGGTTCAAATTCTGATGAGAGAGCATGGGATTGGCCTGGCTTGGGTCACCGTCTTCCCCTTGGCCAGGGGAAGGGAGGGCACCCAGATTGCTTTATCCAGTGTTGTAAAGGAGTTCCCCAAAGGGGATTCTGGGGTAAACTGGACAAGTAAAATAACGCCTGTACCTTGCAGACCTTAGTCTCCACTCAATGATTCCTTCATATTTCCGAAATTCCCACTGCAGAGAGCTCTGAGCCCCCGAAACGAGTCAATACCCCAGATTTCCTCACACACACAATTTTAGACCTGAAACCAGGAGTAAAGAAAACAAATTTGAGGGTGTCAGTATTGATTAGTCAGTACTAATTGGGGCTAGTACTGCCAGGGACTAGCATGGAGATATTTGAAATACAGAGCCCATAGCAACTGCTATTTCTGGAGAAATAGCAGAGTAGTTGTATCAGTTATCTGTTGTGTGTAACCAATTTCTCCAAAATTTAGCGACTTAAAATATCAATCACTTATAATGCCTCACGGTTCCGTAGGTCAGGAATTTGGGAAAGGCTCAGCTGAGTAGGTCTGCCTCCAGGATCTCAGGCAGTTGCAATCAGGTGGTGTGTGGAGCTGTAGCACCAGACCGGCCAGACATCGCTCTCTTCATGTGGTCACAGGGTCTCTCCACAGGGTCTCCGGCATGGAGGCTTCAGAAAGCTGGATTTCTTACACAGTGGCACAGGGCTCCAAAACAAGGGGTGGGGGGCGGGGGGAAGAGGGAGAGAAATTGCTTCAGCACAGGACTAGCCAGGAGGAAGCTGTGTTGCCTTTCTGGACTTGTTCATGTTATTCTATGTGTCCAGACAGTCATAGAGGTCTTCCCAGACTCAGGGAAGAGGACATAGGCCTCACCTCTAATGGGGTAATTATAGGGTCTGGAAGGGCATGTGGGGCCAGACATTTGTCACAACTGTTTTTTTGAAAATACATTGCTGTCTGGTTAGTGTGGATTTGGTGTCAAACCACCCGGCTTTGGGACCGTAGGCACAAGTGACCTCTCTCCAGGACTGTTTTCTCCTTATAAAATGGGGGGTCATAGCAGCGCCTCCTCACAGGCTTGTGGGGGAAGCATTCTCATTATGGCCACACACAGGACGTTCTCAACGGAATCTTCTGTCATCTGGAAACAGTCAGGGATGAAAATCAAAGCAAGAAAAGGGCAGGGCCAGCCCCTCCGGGGAGAGTGTGACCTTGGGCGAATTCCTTCCTGCTTCTGAGCTTTGGGTTGTAAACATTAAGCAGTGGAATTCCCAGGATTCCCCAAGTTTAATTCTTTTTAGGTGAAATTTACATTAAATTAATAATTTTCAATTCAGTGGCACTTAGTACATTCACAATGCCGTTTAACCATCATTTCTATCTAGTTCCAAACGTTTTCATCATTCCTCAAAGAGACCTCATACCCAGTAAGCAGTTACTCCCTGTAACACCCCTCCCACTCCCCTCCCTGCCACGTCACACACAGTGAGCCTCCGGCAACCTCTAATCTGTTTTCTGTCTCTGAATTTACTTATTCTAGACATTTCATACAAATTGTATCGTACAGTACATGGTCTTTTGTGTCTGGCTTCTTTCACTTAGCTTTGTTTACAGGGTTCATCCTTCTTTTTTTGGTTGAATAATATTCCATTGTATGGATTAGCCACATTTTGTTTATCTATTCGTCCATTGATGGAAATTTGGGTTGTGTCCACCTTTGGGCTCTTGTAAATAGTGCTGCTATGGACATTTATGTGCAAGTATTTGTTTGAGAAGCTCTTTATAATTTTGGGAGGTATATACCTAGGAATGGAATTACTGGGTCATAGAGTAAACTTATGTCTGACTATTTGAGGAATTACCAAATTGTTTTCCACAGTGACTGCACTATTTTACATTCCTGCTAACAATGTACAAGATTTCTAATTTCTCCACATCCTCATCAACACTTATTTTTAATTTTTTGTTTAATAGTCATCCTAGTAGGTATAAAGTAGTTATCTCATTGAGATTTTGATTTGCATTTCCCTAATGACTAATGATGTTGAGTATCTTTTCATGTGTTTATTGGACATTTGTTTATCTTTTTTGGAGAAATGTCTTTTCAAATTCTTTACCCATTTTTTAATTGTATTTTTATTTTGTTAATCCTCACTGAGGATATTTTTCCATTGACTTTTAGAGAGAGTGGAAAGGAGGGGGCAAGACAGAAAGAAACATCGATGTGAGAGAGACACATCGATTGGTTGCCTCCCACATGCACCCTGATCATGGCCGGGATCAAGCTGCAACCGGTATGAGACCCTTTAGTCTGCAGGCTGACACTCTATCCACTGAGCCAAACCAGCTAGGGCTGTCTTTTTATTTTTGAATTGTAAAAGTTATTCATATATTCTTTATACTAGACTGTTATCAATTTACAATAATTTTCCCCCATCTGTGGGTTGTCTTTTCACTCTCTTGATAGTGTCCTTTGATAAACATTTTTTATTTTGATGAAGTTCAATTTATCTGTTATTTTTTCTTTTGTTGTTTTGTGCACCCATTGTCATATCTAAGGACCCATGTTTTATTTCTAAAACTTCATGCTTTAAGAGTTTTATAGTTTTAACTCTTATATTTAGGTCTTTGATCCATTTTGAGTTAATTTTTGTAAATGGTTTGAGGTAGGGGTTCATCTTCATTTTTTTCCATGTGTTTATCTGTAGTCCCAGCACCATTTGTTAAAGAGACTATCCTTTTCTCATTGAATAGTCTTGGCACCCATATTGCCAAGATAATCAATTGACTGTAGATATGTGGGTATATATCTGGGTGCTCAATTCTATTTAATTGGTCTGTATTTCTATCCACTGCTTCATGCACACCCCCTGCTGGGATAGAGCCCACAACCCCAGCATATGTCCTGACTGGGACTCAAACCATGACCTCCTGGTTCATTGGTCAATGCTCAACCAATGAGCCACAACAGCCAGGCAGTATGACACTGTTTTGATTACTGTAACTTTGGAGTAAGTTTTGAAGTTGAAAAGTATAATATTTTGTTCTTTCTCTAAATTGTTTTGGCTATTCTGGGTCCCTTGCAATTCCATATAAATTTTCCAATTAGCTTTTCCATTTCTGTAAAAAGTCCATTGGGATTTTGATAGGGATTGAATTAAATCTGTAGATCACTTTGGGAAATATTGCTGTCTTAACAAGGTGAAGTCTTCCAATCTGTGAATACAAGATGTTCCATTTATTTAGGTCTTTATAAATTTCTTCCAGCAATGTTTTGTACTTTTCAGTACATATGTCTTTCATGTCCTTGGTTATATTTATTCCTAACCACTTTGCTCTTTTAGATGCTATTGTAAATGAAATTATTATTTTTTAAAATTATTTTATTATTTATCTGTTTGTTTTTCAACATCTTTTTTTCTTTTTAAATCCTCACCTGAGGGTATTTTTCCATTGATTTTTAGAGAGAGTGGAAGAGAAAAGGAAAGACAGAGAGAAATATCGATGTGAGAGAAACATCGATTGGTTGCCTCCTGCATGCGCCCTGGAGCCTGCAACCGAGGTATGTGCCCTTGACCAGAATCGAACCCAGAACCCTTCAGTCTGCAGGCTGACACTCTATCCACTGAGCCAAACTGGCTATGGCTAAATGAAATTATTGTCTTAGTTTCATTTTTGGATTGTTCACTGCTAGTGTAAAGAGGTATAACTGATTTTTGTCACTCTTGTATCCTGCAAATTTGCTGAATTCATTTATTAACACTAATAATTTGTGGATTCTTTAGGACTTTCTACATTAAGATCATGTCA